AGCTCTTTGGTGTGGGGGTGTGTTGGCGGGCCTCAAAAAAAAAAAAAAAAAAAAAAAAAATATCTGATGGACTAGCTGACTGACGATGTTCGATCCTGCAAATGGCGGTAGAAGCAGCAGGTAATTTGGACGGTGCAACTTGGAGAACGGCGTCGTCCTCGTTCAGCTCAGCAGACCATTCCTCAGCAATGGAATCTACCTGTGGATTGGATGAACTAGCTGGCTGATGATTTTCAATCTTACGAGTTTCGGTGGAACCAACTGGTGATTCATGCAGACTAATAATGGTCTTTACCTCAGGAGGTAGATTGGGCGGTTCAGCTAGTGGCAAGTGTTTTTCTTGGAAAACGGCGTTGTCCTCGATCGGTTCAGCAGACCATTCCTTAGCGATGAAATCTACCCGTGGATCGTATGGACTAGCTGACTGATTTTCGAATTTGCCAATTACGGACGAGCCAACTGGTGATTGAGGCAGACTAATATTGGACTCGCCAGCTATATTCGACGGTCCATCTAGTGGCATGTGAATGGCGTTGTTCTCGTTGAGCTCAGTCCATTTCTTGGCAGTGGATCCAACTGAGGCATCGGATTCCATGGTGTTAGAATCAAATGATGACTGGCGGTGGGAGTTAACGATGTAATTTATCGGACTAGTTTCAAAATTTCTTTCAACTGGTTCATCCAGCCATTCTTCGTTTATATACGCAGATGTAGGCATGCTTTCAACACTTTCATTGCGATTGCTCTCATCCGACCGACCTAACAGCCATTCTTCGGCTACAGATAAATATGTAGTGTTTGACACATGCTGTTTAGTTGCACTAGTGTTTGCAACTGCAGACGAAGGACGCTGTCTTTTCCTACCAGTAACAGGTTCCGGAAGAGCGTAGTGGAATAGCCTGCAGTGCTTAACATAGTTGCCCAACAACCATGTTCCTCCAGTAGATTTCATTATTTTGCATGGTTTGGGAGACGAGCAAAATGCACAGGTAATGATTGCCATTCTGTATCCTCCTTTCGACAGAGATACACTCGCCGATAGATTTCCGAGTCCGGCAAAAAATTTGAGGAAGTCGTTCGATTCGTTCTTGCTATGTATGACATAAAAATAAGATCATTCAATTGGAATCAATCAACACAGATCCACAACATTTGATAAATAATTGGAAAAATAATTCAAACAAATGTATACCGTTCTTTGTAGTATGATTGGATTCTTTCTAGCACTTCCGTTTCAAATGAACCTATTGACTCGGATTTCGAATTTTTCGTTTTGCTGGATGGCATGAATTGATCCAAGCCTGCATCACGAATGGTATTGGCCAGCTTCAGTATTAGTTTTTTCTCCCCTCTGAGAAAAGTAAATTTTTCCGGGTTTTCTGCGTAAATCCCGTACATTTCACGCATTTTCTCCGAGCCGAGGTTCACGCATGCTCTCATATCGACCTCTATAGCACCAAGATCGACGTCCGTGATGTCGCCAAGCATAGTACTAGCGGCGCATCCTTGGAACTCAAGAATGCGCTGGAGATTGAGAGGAACAACTCCTATTAATAATTGTATTTTCTCCCAGAAACACCGGTATATTTCCTGCAGATAATCAATATGTTCTTAATTCAACTAGTTTCATTACAAGTTCTTTCTATAAAAGAACCCAATATTCAAATTAAAAAAAAAAATATTAGAATAATAGTGAAGGGAAGTACTTGCCTCTCGTGTGACATCCATTTTTGATTAAACGAATGTCAAATGTACACTTAAAACCAAAAATAGTCAAAAACAAAAAAAACAACTGACATTCACAAATATTAAAATATTTAATATTTCCACCATGGGTATTGATGCTTATACTTGGAGCTGGCCTTCCCCTAGTTTATGAGGCAAAATTTGAATCGCTCTGATAAATGAAATGAACAGAAAATGTCTGGTGGAAAACTTGCACTGGACAGGTAAATTAAGGCACAGGCTTTATTTAAAATTAAGCTATATTGAAAATTTCTGGTGGAAAATCTGCAACGGATGGGAAAGCTTTTCTGAAAATTTTTGGTGTTTAATTTGCATCCTTCTGCTGAATAGAGAAACAGATTTCAATAATAATTTCTGGTGGAAAATCTGCACCTTTCTGATGATTGGAGGGAAGCTGCTTTACTGAAAATTTATGATGAAACATCTGCAAATAGGGGCAACCTTTATTTGGTGGCAAACCTGCAACATTCTGATGATAGGAGAAGTAATCTATATTGAAAATGTCCTGTGGAAAATGATAAAAAATGAAATGTGCACCAATCAGAAGATTGGAGAAGCAATTTTTATTGAACATTAACGGTAGAAAATTTGCATCGTTCTGGTAAATTAAAATTTTCTGGTATAAAATTACCTGGGGACACGTTTGTTTTGAAAATTTCTGGTGTAAGATTTGCAACAATCTGCTGCATGGAGGGGCAAGCTGAATTGAAAATTCCTGATGTAAAAATTGCACAGTTCTGGTGAATAGAGGGGCAAGCTTTCTTGAACATTTCTGGTAGAAAAACTACAACGTTTTGGTGAATGGACGGACAACTTAAACTTGACTTCCGAGAAGAACCTCAAGGGTATTGAATTCTGAAATAATTTCTAGTGAATCCTGCAGATAGGTCCAAGATAATTTCAAAAATAATACCGAGAGAATCAAATTTTGAATGAAATTCCAAAGGGATGTTGAGGAAAATTTCAAGGGAATTCCGAGGATAATTTCAAGCTCATTCTGGAAATAATTTCTGGAGAATACAGAGGAAATTCTTCTGAAGCTTTAGGGGAATTTCAGTTCCAAGGTGTTCTGAGAAAAAAAAAGTCCAGAATTATTCCGAGAAGAACCTCAAGGATATTGAATTTTTAGGACAGTTCCAAAATATTTCTGTTGAGATTTCAAAGAAAATTCTGCGGATAATTTCTAGTGCCTCCTGCAGATAGTTCCAAGATAATTTTGAAAAGAATACCGAGAAAATAAAATTTTGAGTGAAATTTCAAAGCAAAATTTCAAGCGAATTTTGCGGATAATTTCTAGCTCATTCCGGGAAAACTTTCTGAAACTCTAAAAGAATTTCAGTTCCAAGGTGTTCTGAGAAAAAATCATCAAGAGTTCTAAGTATAATTCCAGTGGACTTTTGAGAAGAATTTCAAAGAGCTCTTAAAAGAGTTCTAAAAATATCCGAGAAGAACGTCAAAGATATTGAATTCTGAGGACAATTCCAAAGGATTTGTGGGGAGTATTCCAAGAAAATTCTGCAAATAATTTCTAGTGAATCCTGCAGATAGTTTCAAGATAATTCCGAAAAGAATACCGAGAAAATTAATTACTGAGTGAAATTCTTAAGGGATTTTGAGGAAATTTTCAAGGGAGTACCGATAAGTTCTAGCTCATTCCGGGAATAATTTCTGGATAATACTGAGGAAGTTCTTCTGAAACTCTAAGGGAATTTCAGTCCCAAGGTGTTCTGAGTAAAAGTCAAGAAGAGTTCTAAAAATAACTCCAGAGGCTTTCTGGGAAGAATTTTAAAATAGCTCATAGAGTTCTAAAAATTTCGAAAGGAACCTCAAGGAATTCTGAAGATAGACTTTTTCGCAACTGTACAAAGTTTAAAGACAGCTTTCGATCCCTTAATTGAAAAGTGGGTATTAGTTTGCCATTGAACCTTGGTCTATTGTTGTCTTACTAAGAATTCGTCTAAGTATCATTTCGGTTATAGCACTACTATTGCAACCATTTGACGAACCGATCATTATCGACATCGTCGATGAGATTAAATTGCCAATTCCATTGGCTGTCTGAAAACAGTTTGCATTGCAGGAGATGAACCACCACTGGAGCAAAAAATAAATAAAATTTGCTAAATTGAACACTAGGGAAACAGTGGTGGGTGGACAGCAGCATCCACCACGCACGTTGGAGTACTCCCCATCCCCAGATGAAATGCACCATAGAAAAAAAAATTGCCCCTCCTTAACAAGATTCCTGTGCACGCTAGTGCTGCCTAGCTTCCATATAAGAGATAAGGACAAAGCCGGGATGCGTTCAGTGGATATTTTCCACTAATCTGAATGATTTTCAAAACTTAAGTGGCTTAAAACTCACATGGTCAATTGGACTTAAGGTAGGGATTTGTTCAGAACGCTAGAAAAAAGCAAGTTAATACATGGGGTGCACAATTCTGCACCTATTTTTAGCGAAATTTGGGAGAATATCTTTCAGAAAATCAGTGTTCACTCGGCTGTCGACAAAAGCAGGCCACTCTTGATGTGTGTTACGCGATCGTCTGTTTTCTCGACAGCAACCATTGTGTGGTCCTCCTCATTGTTCTTCATCAGCAGTTCTTTCGGTCGATGCGTCGTCGACTTTGGAAAGCAACCGTTTCGTGATGAGTGTGTGAGTGCTGACCACGTTTTGTGTCCATTGCTGCAATGGACGCGCTCTGACCCTCGTTGGCATACAACAATTTGCCATACAATGAAACTACTGGAAGCGGCTTCAGTTCTGATGGAGGAGGCTTTTTGGATAGCGGAAGATAAAGTGTTTATTGTGTTGTACCTTTTGACTAGAGTTTTAATATGCATTGTATAGTGACCAAGAATCCTCGGCTCTGTAAAGTTAATTCGGTTGAGCCTTATCAAATAAATTAATAAACAAAAAAAAAAAAAAATCTTTCAGAAAAATCTGTCATTTCATTAATTAGAATTATTTCCTGTTCGGCTACGATCCACAATTTTTCTGAAGTTTGCTGTATTTGATCTAGTAGGATTCGCTGCAATTAAAAAAATAATTCCGCACAAAGGGAGCATCCATTAAGTACGTCACGCAAAATTCTAGACCAGTTAAACCACCCTGCCTCATTTCGTCACGCTTATCCCATACCTCATACACTACTTGACACATATTTTTGAACCCCTCCCTCCCATAAAGCGTGACGTAATTAACGGACAGCCCGAACTCAATTGCGACAGGTTTTAAATCATGGTCCACCTACCTTGCAGCGGCATCCACATCCACCCGATTCCGAGCACCAGAATGGACGGTGGCATCAGCATCAGCATCCGTCCGGCCAGGGCCCCGAGCCGGTACACCAGACTCAGCCCGGCCCCGGCCACGGTTCCGGTTCCGGTTCCTCCCGTTCCCACCACACCGTAACCGACGACGGCCGTGGCCGTGGCGGTGGCGTGGCACGACGGCAGTAGCAACATCAGTGCCACCAGCGTCAACAGCAACATCAACGTGGCGGTCGTCGTGACCAACTCCATGCTGGCGGTGGCTTCCCGGAGCTGTTGTTGTTGTTGTCTAGTGCGAGTGTTGGCAGTTGTAGTTGTGGTTGTTGTTGCTCTCGTTTTCGATGGTCATAAGATTGACGCCCTCGTGGTGTGGTCGTCGAGGCAGCAGCCCGGATCCGCTCGGTCTGCGTAGTTTGATTGGTGTGTATTATTTTTCGATACTTATTTTTGGCGTTTCGGGTTTGTTATTGTTATGGATTTAGAGATTAGAATTGTTTAACGATTTTTAACTAGAGGCTTTGTTTAAACGAACAACTTTAGTAACGGTTATAATTACGATAGTAGTAACTAGATTTTTTGATTAATCATTTCGTTAAACTTGCTTTTACTGGATTTCGATTAGCAGCGGTTTGTTTAGAAGGGGTTTTTTTTCTGTTGTGTTATTGTAAGTTTTATTTTGTGAGATAGACGTGAGAATAACGGTGATTTTGACAGATTGCTTTGACTTTTTTTTTCCAAACTGGAGGTTGGTGAAGAGATAGAGTGGTGAATAGTAGTAGGCTCTGAAAGTGGTGGTGCTTCACTGTTTAGGTTTTATTGTTTGTTGTCAGTCAGTTTTATTTAGTATTTATTTTTGGACAGGTGCAGGGGACAGAGTGCGAGTGTTTTCTGTGTAGTCAAGTAGTTTTTTTAGGTTAGGCAAAGATTTTGTTTTGTTTATGCTAAAAGAACACTGCATCATAACTTTACATTTTCTCGTAGACCGACGGAGTGCGGCGCAGATAAATCAGTTTGCAGCGCCATCTCGCGGGTTGCTATTATTTTCTCGGATGAAACACAATCACAAAACTAAACACTTGATTCGATGGAGAGACTTTGTAGCTTCGTTTCCTGCTAGCCAATCGAGATTGGGATTAAAGATTCAAACAATCTGGCTTCTTTCGATCGGTCGGTCGTCCCTCTAGGGACGCCACTGCGGTCGTTCTGACTGCTTTGGAAACGGGGTCACACTCCTTCCACTAGACTGCTAGCCACATACACGTGTATGTAGGCTTTTTTTTTGAGAAGAACGCTACAGTAATTTTACGCGGACGCGAAAAACGGAAACGCTACCATCAATAATGCACACGGACCTCAGCAAAACATCACGAAAACCGAGCTGGGAAAATTGAGGGAAACGGCGAATTATTTACGCGACACAAAACTCACTAGGCAGAGGTGGCAGGTCGTCGGTTCCGGTCCACAGAATACACACTAACTTTTACGCCTGTTTGTATACTCTTGGCACGCTTTTGCTCTTCCAGTGCAGCTACTGTTCGCGATTCGCCACTTGGGTCCAACTAAAGTTTGCCTCAAATTGCATTATTTTTCAACACCCGGTACATGGGACCACTTCGGTTTCCTGAGGACCAGCAGAAAAAAACACAATCTCTACGCGGAACCCTCACTAGCCGCTCAGTAGGCTCCACCGATTGCCAGTGCTTCTCTATAGAGGCAAAACGACACACCACAGCAATATCGATTTTCATTCACAAAATGACACAACATCTACACACACAACACAATCCCCTTCATCTCACTTCCGTCTTGTTCCGTTTCCACCAGTCTGCGGACGTTGCTGCTGCTGCTACTGCTGCTGCTACTGCTTCGGCTGTCGGGATTCGATCCTAAAATGCATTTTCCATTTTCCCTCATCATATATGCGAGTGTCGTTTTTCGTATGCCCCCTGCTCATCCTCTTTCCTCGCTCACCCCTCGTCACATGTAGCTATGGAGGTACAGCATCCACTCCAATGACGACGACGATGCCGTTTTTCCTCGTTTTCCTCTTTGCACTGCGTCAGAAACTCTCTTCTGTGGCTGCTGCCGTTCGTTGTCGAGTCAAGGACCCTCGCCGCGCTTCTTTTCACTAACCTCCGTGAAACACACTAACCGACTCCCGGCGGTTCAACCGATCCGAACACAACACATCAACTATAATCGGACGTTACTCCGCGGTTCCCATAGCTCACTGCTTCTGCATTGACTCAGGAAAGGGGGAAAAAAAACTCAAACTTTATCTACCACATCCAAGTAGGCCAACCGGAAGTACGGAAAACACAGAACGCACTGAATTCCGCGTCGGATCGAATCCGCGAATCGATTGATTTTCTCCTCAGCGTAGACACATTTTTCAAACAACAGAAACAGAATCAGTGAGAGTTATCTTCCTTTTCCTCTTATTTTCCCAACTATTTTCAACGCGTTCTCCACTAGGAGCAGAAAACCAGAACCGATAGGATCGAAACTCGACGATTAACTGGACCGGTCGAAGTCGTCGCCGTCGCCGCAAAGGACACCGATGGAGCTGCAACTGAACGAGCGGAGTTCGTGTCTCCAGAACGGAAGCTGTGGTGGATGCTGCGTTCTCGTTGGGTAACGTCTGGCTCCGTGTGGACAACGAGTAACGCTTTGACGGGAGCCGAACTTTGAGAGCTCCCACTTATTTTCTCTCACTCTCTCTCTCTCTCTCTCTCTCTCTCTCTCTTGCTCGGGTCGAGTGAGTGATGGTGCATTGATGACGAAATGCCGATGAGTGTCTCGCAACGCGGTTTCCCGATTGAGAGGTTGAGTTACGCGATAGGGGAAATTAATGACGTTTGCAGTGCAATCGTAGACCGACAAGTCGCGTAAGTGGTTTTTCCCAAATATGAATCTAGTAGTCTGTATAGACTATGATAATACCAGAATTTGCCTCTAATGATCAACAACAGTAAAATAGGTAGCTACTGGTTGGAAAAGTTCAGGAAATACAGGAAAGCTCCTGAAAGTTCCCGGATATATACAAGGAGCATACTTGTAAACAGGGCTGTTAATGACGCCAACGCCGTTAACGTCAATGAGAATTTGCATTGAAGACGTTAACGCTGACGTTAATGGCGATAACCTTCTTGCAAATTCCAAGGTTAATTTGGATGCAATTGCAATCAAAACTGATAACTTCTCGAGAAAAAAAAGGATCTTTAATGGCCAGTATGAGTGCCCAAGTAATATCAAGGATTGCTACGACTACCTGGATTTCACGAGCTTCACCTTTTTGACCATCTTAGTGGATTGAGTGCAAGATTAGATCCACTATGTCTGAGTTCATTTAGTTCAATTCAAGTTATCTGAAGACTCCATCCCGGTCAGTTCATGGACAAATTTTCAAATAGATAAATTTGCTATTGGCTACGGGATGGGGCCCAGCGCAGTACATACCAATCAGGCTAAGGCCTCTATGTCCTCTGCTGTTCGAAGAACCGGATGATCTCCTCAAGAAAGCGATCGAGTCCCTGCGACCGCTGTTTGACAAAGACCTCGGCAAAAGAAATATCGAATCGCATCGGATTGTATTTTAAATCCACAGCCATCGGGGCAAGCTGCTGCTGTTGAACTCGCTGAAACTCGATGTCGGCTGCGAACATCAACGATGCCTGGCTGCGACTCAGTCTGGCCGCCAGATTGGACGATAAGAACCGAGACGAATCGGCTAAGTATATCGGCGGATGTGATAATGATGACACTGGAGAATACGACGAAAGTGTTCCGCTTCTTCAGCGGTGCCACCGCAGCCTTTGTAAAATAAAAGCCAACTAAAACTAGTCAAGTCAATTAAGAATTGTTCAAACTGAAACCCAATTCAGAGTACCTAGTAGTATAGGGCTGATTCTCATCCTTTCTTACGTTATCTCTACAGTAAAATAGACGACATTATGGCATTTTATTCATTTCAAAACCGGAACTTTGACGAATATAGATGCAGCGAAGTCGATCATTAGCAGTTGGTTTTGATCTGCCTTGCGCAGAATGAATTACTGCTTTGGACAGACATTAGGATGTGCACTGCTGGGGAATGCATACTCAGTTTTGAGGCATCTATGGTGGCCTTGGCCGAAAATTCATGGTTGCGGTTCTCCAAACCCACAAATTATAATGTGTCAACAACAGTTATTTGACACATGCACTGCGCAGGCGCAGAACTGGTCCAATGTTGCCAGTATCTTCAAAGATTCTCAAAATTTAAAAACATGGGTGCCAAACAGTGCCAATGAGTGTGCCCAACTGTGTTTTTGGCACACTGTGCGTAGTGACCAACCACTTGATGCGCACGCATTCTATGATGATCCGAAAATGGTGATAGCAATAGCAAATCAACAGTTTTTGCGCATGAAATGCTAAAATAGAACACGCCATCCACGCTGAAGAGAAGATTTACTAGGAGAAATTAGTAGAAAGCTGGCTGTATCTTATGGAGAATTTTTAGAAATCTTCCAAATAAACTAAAACTGAAAGATATGCCGTAGGAGTTTTCCGAGGGGAGTAAGATGAACTTTTCCGCAAAAAGAAATAAAAAATCCGAAAGAAGTTAGAAGATACTTCAGGGAATTCGAAAAGAATTTCCAATGGAGTGCTGAAATAGCAGCAGAACTTCCCCAAGCGGTCAGATACATCAGAACCACTACTTATAGTTGTTATTATTCACATTGCGCTGTTAAATCTGATGATTTTTTATCACACGGGCTATCATTCCTCGTTTTTCCCGTTCTGTAGACTTGCAAAATTGTACCGGTTGTTAGTGGAAAGTGCAGTTCGTTGCGATAATCGTACCTCTTGTAGTGTTTACTGTTTTGTCATTGTCGATATCAGCCGCTCTGCAGAATTCAACTCCTAAGATTTGGAAATTTAGTCAGCATGATTTCCACCTGTGACCAATGCGCTAAACCAATTTAAGGCGATGAAGAATCGATCTTCTGCATGGCTTTTGGCGATTAATTCTATCACCGAGAAACAGGAAATTGCACACGCTGAGCTTAGGAAGGAAATGACAGTTCCCGGACAGCAATTGATGATCAGCTAGAACGCCGTCTGAAGAATAATCCAGTCATCGAGCAAAATGTGAGGTTGAAGATAGAAGAATATCAATGAAAGGGTTATGCCCACAAAGCTTCACTTGACGATTTGGCAAAGGCAGATCCACAGAAGGTTTGGTATTTGCCTCTGAATTACGTTCTGCACCCGTTGTGCAAGGTCCGGCTTGTCTGGGACGCTGCTGCCCAAGTAGACGGTGTCTCACTAAATTTGATGCTTGTCACCGGTCTAGATTTTCTAACATCCCTGACAGTGGTAATTCAACGCTTCCGTGAGCGACTAGTGGCTTTTGAAGCCGATATATGTGGGATATATCGGCTCCAAAAGCCACCCTTATATGGTATATAGGGCTTTCCTTAGCTCAGTCGGTAAAGGCACAGCTACAAAGCAAGACCATGCTGGAGGTGGCTGGGTTCGATTCCCGGTTCGGTTAAGGAATTTTTCAGGTTGGAAAATTTCTCGACTTCCATGGGAATAGAAGTATGATTGGACTTGCCACACAATCATATCAATGCAAAAATACAGGCATCGAAAGCTCTCAATAAACAACTGTGGAAGTGCATCTAGCAGACTAAGTTGAGAGCACGCAATAAGCTAATATGTGATTTGCAATAAGCTTCAAATGCGAAGAAGAAGAAGGAAACACAACAACAACAACAACAACAACAACAACAACAACAACAACAACAACAACAACAACAACAACAACAACAACAACAACAACAACAACAACAACAACAACAACAACAACAACAACAACAACAACAACAACAACAACAACAACAACAACAACAACAACAACAACAACAACAACAACAACAACAACAACAACAACAACAACAACAACAACAACAACAACAACAACAACAACAACAACAACAACAACAACAACAACAACAACAACAACAACAACAACAACAACAACAACAACAACAACAACAACAACAACAACAACAACAACAACAACAACAACAACAACAACAACAACAACAACAACAACAACAACAACAACAACAACAACAACAACAACAACAACAACAACAACAACAACAACAACAACAACAACAACAACAACAACAACAACAACAACAACAACAACAACAACAACAACAACAACAACAACAACAACAACAACAACAACAACAACAACAACAACAACAACAACAACAACAACAACAACAACAACAACAACAACAACAACAACAACAACAACAACAACAACAACAACAACAACAACAACAACAACAACAACAACAACAACAACAACAACAACAACAACAACAACAACAACAACAACAACAACAACAACAACAACAACAACAACAACAACAACAACAACAACAACAACAACAACAACAACAACAACAACAACAACAACAACAACAACAACAACAACAACAACAACAACAACAACAACAACAACAACAACAACAACAACAACAACAACAACAACAACAACAACAACAACAACAACAACAACAACAACAACAACAACAACAACAACAACAACAACAACAACAACAACAACAACAACAACAACAACAACAACAACAACAACAACAACAACAACAACAACAACAACAACAACAACAACAACAACAACAACAACAACAACAACAACAACAACAACAACAACAACAACAACAACAACAACAACAACAACAACAACAACAACAACAACAACAACAACAACAACAACAACAACAACAACAACAACAACAACAACAACAACAACAACAACAACAACAACAACAACAACAACAACAACAACAACAACAACAACAACAACAACAACAACAACAACAACAACAACAACAACAACAACAACAACAACAACAACAACAACAACAACAACAACAACAACAACAACAACAACAACAACAACAACAACAACAACAACAACAACAACAACAACAACAACAACAACAACAACAACAACAACAACAACAACAACAACAACAACAACAACAACAACAACAACAACAACAACAACAACAACAACAACAACAACAACAACAACAACAACAACAACAACAACAACAACAACAACAACAACAACAACAACAACAACAACAACAACAACAACAACAACAACAACAACAACAACAACAACAACAACAACAACAACAACAACAACAACAACAACAACAACAACAACAACAACAACAACAACAACAACAACAACAACAACAACAACAACAACAACAACAACAACAACAACAACAACAACAACAACAACAACAACAACAACAACTACAACTACAACTACAACTACAACTACAACTACAACTACAACAACAACAACAACAACAACAACAACAACAACAACAACAACAACAACAACAACAACAACAACAACAACAACAACAACAA